AGGTTTCTTCACGTTTTTCTTTACCGCCGAGCACGTAAGACAGCAAATTGTAATTAAAAATTTAATTAGTGCAAACGAGGCTCTAACCCACTGAAAGGGCTTGCTCTTGCCATGATACATGGTAGGAAGGAAATTAAACACACTAGAGTATATTACATATCTCAATATTATATTTATTAAAAAATATAACCTAACTATATATATGACTTTATATTTAAATTCAATCAACAAATAACTCGCACGTTCTTCGAAACTGGAATAAACAACCTCAGTCTTCCAACACAAATGAGTACAAACCAAACAGGCCTCGCGCCAACAACAAATGGCGCGAACAAGCGAATCCTATCCCTCCGATCAATCACACCATAAATACATTATATTATAACATTGCACCTTCATTTTTCACATTTTAAAACCAAAAAGTTATTACACAAAAAAAACGTAGTCAAAAATTTCCCATTCGCTTATCAATTATTCTAACGAACCAAATTCAAAAACGTTTAAAAGCCATTTTTGACGACATTCGCATCAATCAGAAGCAAACGTTTATATACAAAATTATATAAGTACATGGGTTGCGTTATGAGAAGGTGAAAAAATAACAAATGAAGATATCCCGCGTCAGACAGCAAGGCTACAAACACAACGATTAATACTTTTGTGCTAAAGCGATCTGCTTTAATATAATCCCCCCCACGCAACACAACCGCCGTAATTACAAAATGAGCGTAACAAACAGGGTTGCCAACCGTTAGATAAATAAAAAATAAATTCCAAGATTCCCTCTTATTGTTGACTCTAGAAACAACTAAAATATGCCAGATTTCGTCTAGACTCAAAACTCCCAAAAGTAATACAGTTTTATTTTTTTATGTTCTCTTAATTTCTTCTACTTTCACTTTTTCATAAATATCTAAACATTGTTTTACTTAGGGTCGAATTTTTTATTAACTAAGTTGGCAACTCTTGTAACAAATATTGTCTGAATTTAAACATGCACTACATTAGGACCCTGTGGACCGTCAGATAGACGAGTGTTTCTTGTACGGACTAAAATCGTTGTAACGGTTTTCTTTATTCCATGACATAGTTATGGTAGTAGCTCACTTCGAGCACGCACAGTGCTGTTGCTGTACTATAGACAATGCCATAAAACTGTCATAACGGTCACGCGTCAATTTGTCTATAAAATATCAAGTTGTTGGGAGTTAGTTATTCATTGTCAGCATTAGATCCTTTACCATGATGGCAAATAATCACCGAGCGTTGGCGTTCTCGCTGTGTAAATATAATGATTAATATCTTAGTAGGACTTGGTTAAGGTTGTAAATACAATAGCTCTTGTTAGGTTGAAGTGAACGAAATTACATGCTAGCGTAACAATATGAGGTTTTCTTTAGTCATATCTTATAAAATTATTGATTTAGGACTCGATACTGTACGTATATATTAAAGTACTAACTTCAATCCAAAATGCATTATTTGAATCAAAGTTGTAACTTGTCTTATGTCATTGGTACCAAAACTATTAATGAAGAAATTCCAAAACTGTAATTCGAATCCGATCGTCTAAGACTCTGTCAATATATTATACTATTGTTCCTCACATGCACAATAGAAATAAAATGTACAATAATTACTGCCGTTGATGGTTTATCATACAATTGTCTGTCTTTACAGCATTTATCTACAATGATTTAAGTAGGATTTTACAATAAATATCATATTACAACATAAAACACATTGAATCAAATGTAAACCAAAATACCAAAGATGTCTGATGTAAGTGAAGTAATTATCTTAAACTAAATTACGAGAAAATTTTTGATTAATTTGTACTTCCTTTTCTCGTATGTTTGGCCCCAGAATTTGTGTTACTAAATAATAATAATTTTTTTTATTATAACCAATAATAATGCCTATGAACACGCACCAGTTACGTGAGTAATAAAATGAACAGTTAAATTTTACATGAACATTTCTAAAAAGTGTGTCCATAAGTCATTATCTATAATTACAGAAGAAAGTTTGGCTCGCAATAAAAAGCAAATTTTATCAATTTATAAAAGAAAAATAGGTTCTGATGGAACAAATTTTGCTCTATACCGCTTGCATAATAATAATTAAATCGAAAATAATAATATACACTTATGAAACACAAAAAATAAAACTTAATCATTTTTTGATATCAAAGTAAATATTTAAGAAAATTCATGTGATAAAAATTTCATTTCATAGGAAATACCTTTTAATGTATTAAACAATACAGTTGTTAAAAAAAAACTCGCAGATCCATACATTCATAAATATTCAAAACTAATACTCGTAAGCGTCTGGCGGGACTTACAACGTTTTAAAATTATCATAACAGAAAAAAAAGTATTAGTCAGTGAATTAAACAATATGATAAAATTGCGTAACCCAGGTAAATAAATATTAGAGAAAAGTACTGACAGATTTCTATAATATTGGGTAATGCAACCAGCATCCGCCTAGTCATACCGCGCCTGACCCGTATATCAAACTTCTCCCACGTGCTTTTAAATTAAGTCTAAACTTTAAATTTATTTTGATATGCACTTATTATAAGTTTTTTTTACAATGACATTTGTGCTGTACAATTTTCGACGCGAGACGGAAGCGGGCGAACACCATATGGATCATGTATGTACTTTATTCTACATAAAAAAAAGGACGACGTGACGTGACTCTTTTGCACTTTGTACTTGCATAAATACAGGGAAATTATAAGGGCAGTAGGTTCGCCGCGTCCTCGCCTCGTAACGATGCTATTTACAATGAAAAAAAAACGAATTAACAAAAGCATTAAAAAAACATCAAATTCGACAGGACCTATGATATATTTGGCAAACAATTTTTTTTAAGAGACACACAAAGTGGCTTCGCAAGTTATTTATAAAATAAATAAAAGTTTAGTACTAAATAATTTTAATTTATTTTTGTTAATATACAAGTCAAAGAAAAATGATATTATAACTAAAACGAATTTTATGAAAACAATATTTCTACAGTTTTTTTTTGTCCGCTATAAGTGCGAAAATATTATTCACAATCTGAAATTGCTATTATAATTAACTAAAGCCACCATGTGCGGTCGTAATAAAATACTGCGATTCAAATTATAACATCACCACGACAAAAGCTAGGATTTTAAAACATTTTTTCTCTTCGTACTTCAATATAAACCGTTGTTACTGTTTATGTTATCTTGTAAAACCACGAGTGCGACAGCTGTTATTGATAATTACAAAAAGGTTCAAAATCCTCGATCTGGCCGTGGCGTCGTGTTTGGCATGCCGGGTGTACTAAGAGCTAGCTTTACAAGAAAATTCGAAGGCCGCTATGATATCACTGTTTATTACATCATAATATGTACAGGCAGGCGGCACCCGATGTTCGAGCGCGCTATGTACAAGGGCGCGGCCCGCACTCCTTTTTTAGATGTTCACACGCACGGTCACAGCACGGTACGCGTGCTATGTGAAAACTTCCATACTAACTCATACTTTATTAATTCTCGGCACTAAACATCCATGTGAAAGGGCTTTACTACACTACTAACGCTTCGGTTGTGATGGAACCTTTAACGACTGTTACCTTTTCCGTAATCGTCAAACAAACCGAGCCTGATCATTCATACATAAATGTAGTTTTGTCCTCTTAGCACTAAGAAAAGACCAGGGCTCCAAAGGATGAATGGTTCAATGTCATAATATCGATACTGGCTTACTGTTTCACCTAAATAATTCTGTGTAAAGTTATGGTGAATTTCTTGGAACATATTACATGCATATGACACCGGGTATAGATTTAGGACAGTAGAGACGAGGAACTACTTTTAAGGCACACTGCCAATTAGTGTCCACTATAACAGTTTCATAATTTTAGAAATCTTTATAAAAATTTGCCTGTTTGTTTATTACCAAAATAGTGATGAATGACAATGACAATGTCATTACACAATGTACCTTTGTGTAAATAAAAACATATTGTTGAATAAAATGTGCAATGTATATGATAATATTTGAACCAGGTTTATTTCCAGTAATGTGAAATTAAATAGAATACCAAACAATCACAGTTCTTATTTATCCAATACAGCTACCTAATTAGTAAATGAACATTGGATATTAACTGATAGTAAATTTGAGAATAAGCTAATTTAGTTTTTCGCAAGGCAATTTATATTATGTTTGGTAGTTTGAACTTCACAGTAAGGTCACAGAAAAAGGACGTTAATTATTTTTGTATATTGCCGATCCGAAACATAAAAGTCGTAGAAAACATTTTGTTCATTTCTTAAATTCATAGCAAATTATTTATCTCACTAATGATCATATTTTTTTTTTCCTGTTACACAAGTAAATTTTAAATGGGATGCTTAAACATCATATGTCCATTTTGTTTGTTTCTTACAGAGTACAATTATACCTGTATATTGTAGGATAAGTATGTTTTATATTAAGTTTTATGTATAAAATGTATACATTACACAAGGTAACTTGTTCTCAGTGGGTACTGTTTTAATACATAAGTGCAAAATTGTTTTTTATAACGAGACTGCTGACAGCAATCCTCTTAAAAACGTAATGTTTGTAATGCCAAAGTATAAACATTAAAGTGTCAAAAACAAAAAGCATATTAGTGGGAATAGTACTTGATGAATTTGTTAAAATAAAATAATAATAAAAACGATATTTTATGGGCATCTTAAAAGAAATAATTCGGCACTAGTTTGTTTGGTTTAGCCCCATTGAAATACAACCAAGATATAAAAATATTTAGCACATCAGAAGAAGTTGCACTTAAAATTAAAATAACAACACAACAGAAAAGGAAAACCAGCACATTCCTGACATTGCAACTCCTTGCATCTCGAGCCTTTACAAGAGCACACTTGTTGGCTTACTTCAGCTTCTGACCTTCCACAAATTACACAGCACCACATCTCCACCAGCACACAGCAGTTCCACAACACGCTAAAACTCGAAGTCGAAAAGTTCTGATAAGCCTTCGTCGTGGTCGAGACAGAAGCCGTAGTCGGTGCCCGACATTGGTGGCTCCAATGCTAGGAACGGCTCCAAAGGTTCTGCAAACCAATGATAGTTTTACGTGAACAATTCTAGTATTGAAGTATTAGTATAAAACGCTAAGTAAAATCATAAGAATTTTATGTGAACATGCCAGCCTATGTTGTAATTTCTAGTTTAATGCTTGTTATTATTTATTAACTTTTGATTACTCAAATGGAATAAATATATCACAGATGATATAAAATGATATTTTAATATTGATTCCATTCCTTACTAACGTTATTTACATCCTAATGAGAAATTATAACATAATATCAGTTAACAAAAAAAAAACACTATCATACATTTAAACACCCTAAGTTATAATTATTTAAATATACAGATTGTTTATAATAAATACTAATTTCCTCATATATATATATATATATATATATATATATATATATATATATATATATATATATATATAATAGAATTTTATAACAATATTCCTAGTATAAAGACATGGGTATATTATGTCATTAAATCAAATTAAAAAAATGCACTACATTTTTTAACTCACTAAATGTGGTATAAAGTAGTAGTAGTAGGTAGGTCTTCGTGACACTTGCCACATAACAATCACGCTTTTTTTTAATTACATGTTGTGTGTATATACACAGACATACACAAGGATAAGCGAATAGGCGAAGCGAATTTATTTCTCGACAGTAACAAAAAGCGAAAATTCGACAGCAAGTAAGACATCCCGATCCATGATGGGGTGAAATTTTCATAATAACTAATAACTTATTAGCAAATGCTATACAGCTGGTTCGAAATATTGCCTCAATATGAATGCATGACAGTTTAACGATTATTTACTACGGAAGAATAGATTTACACAATATACCGAAGAAAAGCTTAATTTTTCACGTCTTTATAAAACCTAATAACTCAATTACATGTTGATAGAACATAGCAATTTTGAAAACATTATTGAGACAATACTTTGGTTAAGAACATCTTCTCTTCCAATCCAATTTTTTGTGAATGTATACATATACCCAATTACTTTTAATTAAAAGTAATTTCTATGTAAAAAATTTAAATACTACATTTCCTTACATAAGACACATAATGAAGTTTATTTACACAAACATATTTTAGATTAGTTTGGAATTTATAAATCATAAATGGATATCGTACTAAAAAGTATTCCTGAACATCGTTAACATTCATTGCAATTTGGATTGGAACAGATTTTAGAAAACAATATGCAGTCAGTAGTGAAGAACGCTGTTAGAAAATGAGGGCGCTGTTACGGTCGATGGTGGCAATACGTGGTATTAGTAGATGAGTTGGCTGTTAGTGGGGGCGGCCATGAGCTGAATCCCATGGTGCTACACGCAAGCACTGGAGCCGCACGGGAGACAGCTCGCGGCGCGTCCCCGACCTCCCCACAACCCCTCCCCCTCCCCTTGCCCACACATACACTCCCCGCACCACACTCACACCTAATCCCAGAAAAGGTATATTTAGATTTGATTTATGATTGGTAACGTGAAAAGACATTGATAAGCAAGTGAACGAATAGTGTAGGTAAAAAAATCAAGGATTTTTTTTAATCAACAATTACTAATATATATTAATAAATAATCAAGGATTGTAGTAAAAGTATATCACCATAGCCAGAATTACAGAGAGAAATTTTGAAAGGATTAGAAAATAAGTTAACACAAAAAGTTTTTATCGATTTAATTTCACTATTAAATTTAATGTGATAGGTACTATTGTACTAAAATATGTATCACATAATAGGATAAAAATAGAGACGAAAAGGTTTAAAATTAAGAACACAATTTCTTCGTATTTAATTTTGTTAAACATTCTAAGAATTTAAGTCAAACTTTCAGAATGGTTAAATTAGGCTTCTGAGAAATGTATGTATGCAAACGTTAGCATATCTTGCAATTTATGCAATAAAGCTAATTTTCTTTATAAAAATTGACTACACTAGTTTTGTTAAAAATTTAAATATTAATACAACTATTTCCCATTCTAAATTATTTTTTATGTGACTGACAGAATTTTAAGCTTGAGTCTGTTATGTACAAACATATCATGGTATATGGTATATATTACTTATGTGTAATATGGTTACATGTAACTAAACTAGTAAAAGGAACATAACCAAGTTATTTACAATATTATTAATGAATCAACCATATTTGGCCAACACTCAACAGACATACACATAAAAATTAAGATAATTGGTCAGGACAAATGCTTGACACACATTTCTTTTGTTATAATTTCTCTTATCTATATCTCTTATGTATGTAATGAAATATTATTACTTAGTTTAAAAATAGTATTAAAAGGTGTAAAAAAACTCGCATTACAAGAACATAAAGAGAATTAAAGGTCAAGCACTCCACTTATCTCGAGTATCTCCCTGCTACATAAACATTACTGAGTAAGTATGAGAAAGCTTGAATGAATGATGAATGGAGTATGAGCATGACATATGACAACAATTATTATGGTAAATCAAAAGCATGCATACGCCAGCCGTGAGTGGTGCATACAAGAATGCGAACGTTCCTCTATACCGTGAGGTCGGCGGTGTCAGTAAGTCTTCACTTAGGTCGAACGCCGCGCCGTATAGCTAGAACTCTGACTGTGATGTGACGGTAACACACAAGTCACAGCCCGAGTGCTAGCCACAAAGCGCGAATCAACCCTTCTCCTCTTCAATCCCATTTTGATGAGCCTACATTGAACACCTGTAGGAGAACAACTGTGCCTTTGCTTGCAGTTTATTTATTATAGATAAATTGATTTTAAAAAGATTCATGCTATTGAAATGGTCAGTAAATCATTACTTCAAGTAAATATTCTTACTACAGACGTATGAAATAGATATAAATCCTATTCAAGAAAATGGAAGAAGCTTAGTGTTAGCTGAAATTAAGTTACCTTCACCAGAATGAACAGAGTTAATTATAAGTTCTTAGGTCTGATCTGGAATATTCGTAGCAAATAACTTTTTAGAAGTAGGTTTTATGTCTAGCATTAATAAATGCTAAATATTTTTCACTAGGTAATTAGAAAACTTTGTATGTGTATATAAATCATAAATCTTTATTTAATCCACACCTGTTATCACATGGTATGTTTTGATACTACTTGCATGAACCATGCATGAACATCTACTTGGTCTATAGCTCCAAATCAAGTTATAGCACTTAAAATTTTCATAAATAAAATTACTAAATACCAATCGTTCCATATTAATTAACTGGAGGAAACTAAAGTACCTTACATGCTTTACTATAAATATTACAGATCCTATAACTTAAGTGTAAAGATGAGGTCTTAATAAAGTATTTTTTTATAATCTTACATTAACAAACAAGTCATACCTGACTCCTGATCTTCAGTCTGCATTTGGAAGCGACCACCGCCCATTATGGGCGCGAAGTCATCACTATCCGCTATTAAAGCGTTACGGAGACGACCTCGAGCACTACCAACTGAAATGAAAATAGTATACGCTAAGCATGAAATATGTATGACAGTAATGTAAATGGTCATGGGCATGGACTGCAAAACAAAAAAGAACTACATTAGAATTCTGGTAAACTTCTTCTGGCGCACTGATCGAGTACTTCGTGGGGGGGGGGGCTGATTAGTGCGAATACCAATAATTTAAATGCTCGCCTTTATTAGGTAAAAAAAATATGCTAATCAGTTAAGCTCCTTACTGATTATTGGGTCCACGTTTTGTAATCAGGGCATTTTTTTATAGGATGTAGGCTGACAAATGAGCACACAGTCCACCTGGTGGTAAATGGATGCTGTGGCCCATAGACATTTACATCAAACCCGCATGTATGAAAGATCATCACTTACGAAAGGCTGGACAGATTTCGATGAAAACTCACACTTACAATTGAACCCGGTAAATGGCATTGTTGTCGAGTTCTAGAAATCAAAGCAAAGCCTGGACGGATCGGCATATCTGGCGGGCGTTAGTCAGCATATAAAATAAATAGTTTACAAATGGCATCCAACTTGCTCATGTACCGCGTGTCTTTTTTATAGGATAAGGGTAACAAATGAGCACACAGTCCACCTGATGGTAAGTGGATGCTGTGGCCCATAGACATCTATATTTAACCTCAATTAATAATCAAAATGCAGATACGTTGTCACCCTTGAGGACTATGATGGAATGCCTCGATTTCAGTAAAACGGATCTCCGCTTCTCAACACTCACTATACGAAACACAGCAGCATTAAGTTGCTATTTTGCACTGGTAATCTGTGAGAGTGTGGTCCTTCCCCGGTCGAGCCGACCCATTCATGCTACAACTATAATATAGCTACAGCGTGGCTCTACCATGTATAAAAATAATATATTGTGAGTAACATCTGTTTCATACTCAGCAGTTATTTAACTATAACAGATTTTCTCAAAAAATTATTTCAAAAATATGTGAAACCTCTCAAAAAATTGGAAATTATCATTTGCATGGGAGATAGTTATTTTGTTATAAGTATACACATATAGCATACCCCGTTACCGTGACCATTACCATTAAATCCTATCCAAAATCCACTTCTGAATACTACTATATTAACACTGAGTATATAAGATACTGAATATACTACACTACTTCATAAATTACCTCATATAGGGGATCGGTATTTATCATAGCTTCCACGCTTGGCAGGCGAGTTGGCAACTGCAGTTTTACTTTTATTTTTAATTAGAAGCTGCTGGTTTGCAATGGTTTTACGGCACAATATGGGTAATGGTATTGGATATTCTTACTGTCACTACATGGTCAAAGCAAATACCAGTCTCTAAACTATCCGTGACTTGACAAGACTTGTAAAAATGTAGTGTCAGACATTAAGCAAGCACAACCATACTAGAAAATCAACAATTTTCGCTCTCACGAAAGTCTTGACTCCAAATAGAAACCAAACGCAAACTGCCTCAATTATTTACATAAACATAGTATTTTATCTCACAATGGCGGGTTGGTCTTATGCGTAAGCTCCAAAGTCAAAAATATTTGTATTTTGTTCAATTACAATGGACTGCTTAACGCTACCTGCAGTTACGCACTCATGCACTTGTGTCACTACTTGTCACTAATTCAAGTAAGGCTCGTCCGTTTCGCGAAACATATACACAGTCACATATATACAGTACATATATACAGTCAGTACATCAGTCATATTTTAGGTAAATAAAATGACACTTACTATCTGGAGTGGAGAGCAGCGGCGACGGGTGCGGCGTCGATGTAGGCGTGGGCCGTCGAGGCGTGCTGAGCGGCGTGGCGAGCGACACCCCGAGCGTCGATCCGAGCGTTGAGCTCGAGCCGAGCGCCGTACCGAGAGTTGAACTAAGCGTCGCGCCGAGCGACGCGGCCAGCGGGAGCGTCGGATCCGTCACGCACGGCGTACGCACCACAAGGCTCCGTGATAAGTGCTCCTCGTCGTCTGACTCACGTTTGATGGGTGTTCTGTAATTCCAATAATATTATGAAACTAAGAGCTATAAAATAGAACTACTGCAATTTGAAATTGTATTGTTGGGTATTTGTAACGACTTGTAGTGACGACTTAAGAGAATCCACTAACTCACATAATCCCGTGTGTGTCGTAAGATGCGAAAAAGGAAAATGAAACGGATGACAATAGATAAAAACTCAAAATTAAAAAAAAACTGCATTTGTCATGCCGCCGGCTAAGCGTGGCAAATGTAGATGTCTATGGATCACAGCATACACTTACCATTATGTGGATTGCGTGCTTGTTTGTCACCCATATTCTATTAAGAAAAAGATCTTGTGACCTCTAACAGATAGCACTATAACTGTCTTGCGTTTGCCAGAAAATACCTCCGACTGTCAGTCAAGACTAGCATTATTGCAAGAGATATAGGGTACTATAATCATAACAACTATAATAATAATTTCAAAGTGGATAAGATTCATACAGTAAACTGAGAGATGAGATGAAGGTGCAAATTAACTAAAACTTACGTGAAGTCCGCAGTTACAGAAATTGAAGGTACGGTCTGCAACTGTGCTATAAGTGGTGCTAACAAAGCTTTGTTGTCTTCTAGGAGTGGGTCAGGTGGCAACAAGCCTGCTGCTGAAGAAAAAAAATTTAATATATTTAGTATATTTAGTAGCACAGTTTATTCCCACCCATGTTTGATTTTTTTCAAGAACTGAGTTTGTGATCACTATAAAGAAAAATCCTTTATAAAATTTCTAAAGGATTAATATCATAACAAAATTAATTTAACATAAATTCATGATTTATTATAAGACTGCAAGTATTCTTTATGGTGTGATAGATACAGTACTTGACATTTTCAGTTTTAATAATTCAATTTTAAAATAATTTCATAGGAATCTACTGCAACTTCTAATTATTTAACAAAAATGTGAAAACATACATGGAGGTGGTGAAGAGGGTCGCTCTTTAGGACAGAGGTAGACTTCAATTTCTCCAGACATTGACTTCAAATGGATCATGTAGCCTTTTTCGTCTGGATGAGGTACCTGCAAAACATAGATGTTTTACACCATAGTTAAATTTCATCTAGAGGGATAAACAACATTCCTATAATATGGCAGTACCATGATTCAAAATATTCTGATTTTCAAAAAATCTCATCAGAGCACGTAACAGAAGAATGATACAGAGCAGAATAACATAATAGATTAGAAGACAATTTTCCTTTAATTTTTTTATTATGCTCCATTTAGAATTATTTTCTTCTTGTTAAGATGATTTGATTTGCACGAGCATGTTCCGACTAATAAAAACGTGACTGTAAACAAACCTGGACTAGTTTTGTTACAAAATTATGTAACTTGCTTTAGTTTTAAAAATATAATATTCACTAGATGAATTTAATATTAACATGAGGGAATTTATCTCACATCTAATTCCATGAAGACTTTGTCAGCAAAAAGATAAAAATCGATAAAAAAAAACAATCGGCAAATAATATGATGATCTACGAAAAATGATGAAATAACAACATGTTAAGTCAAACCCAAATATTCAGGCCGACGACGGAGATTCAGCTTCAAAAGTACGAAAGAGATCTCTACCAGGAGGCACAGCTAAAGTTTAGCTACATCATTGTTATCAGGACTGTTGGTAGAAATGATGAAATCGTATAGATGGATGGACATATTGTTAGTAAATTAACAATAAAAAAATTGAGAATAAATAATCTTACAAGTTCATTGTTAGTTTATAATATATTGTAACGTATGTCCTAGAACCCATATAATTTCACTCTGTTTATCAGTCCTCATGTGCCACAGCTACACTCTAAGCCATAACTTTTAAGTTTTGGCAGATTAGCAACCACAATTGCTATTATTTTAAGTTATCAAAAAGATAATGCTGTTCATCTAGCATTTTATTTTCCTCTGTCGCCTTTTACGTCATCAATGGGATGTTGGATATGGGGTAGCGGATTCTCTAACGCCGTGTGTTTTCGATCAAATTAAAGAACAACTTCGGAATGTATTTTGTCAGTATATATCTCAATTTTAGATTAAAAAAAACTATCAAAATTAAATTAGATATTCAATCAAGTTTCGATTAGATAAGTCTTTTAAAATAATAAGCAAACTAGTTACTAACTTACTATGCTTTAGCAGAAACTTTTACATGTCAAAACATGCATTAGACCATTTTCTTTTTTAAATTTTAAATCCACTATCATAGTCATTTGACGACCTTACATATGGTTCACCCCATGTGGCAACTATGAGGAATGCTGTAAAAATCTCAAGGCCAGATTTTAAATAAAAAATCCACACCGATCGGTCTGGTGTTGGTTTGCCATTACGACTTACAGCAGGAAAGGCGAATGTATAGCAGCGGACTTTTTTGGCTGAGTACGAGAAGAGCAGAAACGAGGAGGCAACGGGAGTCATGAGCACCAATTGACACATTTGTGAATGTACATTTTCCAGCAAAATTCTGCTCGCAAATGTCACTTGAATATCTAGTAAATGACGAAGTTTAACGGACCAATTGCTCGTATTTTACCAAAGAGACCTATAAATCGCCTATCGCGTATGTCAAGCCTATGATCACGATTCGTGCCACTACCGAAGACTTCTATGTATACTACTAAATGAGCTCCGCCTATTAAATCATAGTCGATTCTCCGTACAGTTCTTGCAATTCACGAAGTCATGCTTTGCTTTACTTATGGTTAACACGTATCTTTTGAATACGTGTCAGCGTGCGTGAGTCCAAAAGCGGCATGCTCGCAACTAGTCGCTCTGTCAGACACGCACAAAATGCATGTACATTTAACCACGAGTAAAGCTCGCTCGATTTTGTGAATTGCAAGAATTATAACTTTAGTGGATTGCAACTTTATTATTAACTAGTTCTTTATTAAACCTTGTTTTTGACAATCTAACACTGATTTTACAAAAAAAAACAACTGCGTTTATTTATGTGCGCACTTTAACAACGTGATTTGAAGTTTATTTGAGATAATAATAACTTTTATTACATTTACATTATGGTTGTAGCACGAATGGGTCGGCTCGTCCGGTTTCGGGCATCTCAATCCTCAGGGATGACAACGCATCTGCATTTGGATATTTTGATTGACATCTTAATTGAAGATAAATGTATAGATGGTCTATGCGCCACAGCATCCACTTACTATCAGGTGGACTGTGCACTTGTTTGTCACCCTTATTCTATGTATAAAATAAGATAAGTATGTAACTTCATTTCATACTTGGCTAAAAACAGTAACCGTCGTAAATGAATAGAACTGTGTGGTCAGGTGGACTGTGCGCTTGTTTTTTTTATACATAGAATAATGGTGACAACCATTATTCTATGTATAAAAAAAAGATAAGTGTGTAACTTTATTTCATACTGACCTAAAAACAGTAACTCTCGCGAATGAATACAACTGTGTGGCATATTTATCGTGTAAACTACTCGCCTGCGCGATCCTTAGCCATGATACAGACTTTGTTTTATACTATATATAGACAGAAGTGTGTCCGCTACGTGTAAATACTCACGCTGAGCCTGGTGTCGGGCGGCGCCTTGATCGGTATGACGGTCTGGTTGCGGAAGTCGTCGATGGAGCGCAGGTCCGCGTAGGTGATGTAGGCGAGCGCGCCGTGGTCCGCCGAGAGCGTGGCGAGCGCGTGCTCGGCGACGGCGACGGCCCGCGCGGCTCGCGCCTCGCGCACGCTCAGCGCGCGCACCTCGCGCCGCAGCCGCCGCGCACGCGCCTCCTCGCCCGCGCCCCCGCACCCGCCCGCGCCTGCCCGCACCAGCACCCATCTTTTAACCATCGTTCACACCGCACATTTTTGAAGGGAAAACTTCTTGCATATGTGTATACGAGCCTTAATTGAATATTATTCTTACAATTTATACCAGTGTTTAGTGTATACACAATACTATATAGTGTATACGAGCCTTAACCTCTCAAAAGGCAAACGTCCAAATTTGACCGCTTCGATATTCCGTCAAAATTCAAGAGGACAAATGTGCCGCACCCACCCACAGCACTTTAACCCATCAATACTTATGTTTAGAGACTACTTTTCTACGAAGAAGTTTGACATTATAGAATCAATATGAAATTTTCTATCCTCTAGTGGAATAAAAAATCAGTTAGTTTTTGGATATTGATTTATAAGCCACGTTCATTTCGTTCGCCATTTTCGTATGAATGTTATCATGTTGATTTTTAAATTTTTCTGGTGTTTTATTAGTGATTTTGTAGTGTTTTATTATAAAATTGTAATGAAAAATTTTGTGTGAATATAATTTATCTTTTTACGTAAATAAATTGGAGTAGTAGATATATAGAAATAATTGTGATTTTCACGCTGCCGACATCTGCATGGTATGTTTTTTTTTTATTATCAAAATACAATAAAATCTTTTTGTAATGAAGTAAAACCTGACTGAAGTTTTAATGGTGTAAAGTGCTGTGGGTGGCCGCGGTCGCATGCGATCGCTCGGGATATGCCGGACGCATGCGACTCCATGGGATTTTTATGGAGATTGAATGGTTAATCGAATATTGTTCATATCATCTGATAGCGGCAAGCCCCGGCGTAGCCTTAGTGGTAAGGTATCTCTATCGTTTAGATTTTAGATAATCATCAACTACCATATTTTTCTTAATTTTTAGTGAAGTTTTATCACAACCGGTTCAGCCATTACGAATAGTAGCCTGTACAGACAGACAGGTAATAATTTAAAAATGGTAATTCATCTTCAACGCTAGATGTAGTGACGACTTTATAGGATAAAGCATCATGCTGGAAGTCGACGGATGCACGTGGGTCAGGACTAGAGATTGCAAAATCCGTATATTTTTGAAATCCGGATTTTTGAATTTTGCTATGATTAAAATCCGGATAATCCGGATTTTTCGAAGTTTTAAGGTGATTTGATAAAACTAAAATAAAACGGCATAAATCATTTAAAATCTGTATTTATTCAGACACGACGGAATAAAATCAACCAAAATAAAGAAAAACCGTGTAGTGGCGGTTAAGAATATCCACTACCCCATATCTTCCCGTGGGTGTCGTAAAAGGCGACAGAGGGAAACAGGCAGGAGATGGGCAGCAGCATCTTCCTGATAGCAGCAACTGTACAACAAAAAACTTCGGTTGCCAACCCGCTCGCCAAGCGTGGCAACTATGGCAATATACCTCCCATGAGAAACGACGCAAATAGATTGCCCCCAGTCCCCAGCGGCCCGCTATTCCAGGCTACGGTGGCGACCATGGTAACGGCGGGGCATGTGCTAGGGTGTTAAGAATCTCCGGTGGAGGTTCAGTTGCCACCTAAAACGACTCGACCTGGCAAATTACAACGTACGCACCCTAAGGACTGACGAGAAGATCCTGGAGCTGGAAGAAGAGATAGACAAGTTGCGTTGGAATACTATAGGATTATCCGAGGTCCGAAGAGAGGGGGAGGACACGGTGATTCTCGAATCCGGCAACTCGTTCTATCACCGGGAGGATGACCATCTGTCCCAAGGAGGTGTTGGATTTATCATCCACAAGTCTCTGGTTAACAACTTTTATAAAGATTGGGAGTGTGTCGACGAGGGTTGCGTACCTTATACTCAGAATCACCAAACGGTATTCGCTGAAGGTCATACGGGTTTACGCACCAACGTCGGCATATCCTGATGAGGAGATAGAGGAAATCTATGAGGATATTTCTAGAGCCAAGCATTTCTCCAAAACCCACTATACGGTGTTAATGGGAGGCTTCAACGCAAAGCTAGGCACAAAAAAAATCGGTGAGCTGAGGGTAGGGAAATTTGGGATAAGGCAACGGAACCCAAGGGGCCAGCAGCAGGCCGACTTCGTGGAGAAAGAAGGACACTTTATGATGAACTCTTTCTTTCAGAAGTGGCCCCACAGAAAGTGGACCTGGTCGAGCCCCGACGGTTCGACAAAAAATAAGATTGAATTCATTATGACGACTACACGGCAACTGTTCAGTGATGTCTCGGTGATCGCAAAGGTGAAAACTGGCAGCGATCAGCGAATGGTTAGAGGCACACTGAACCTAAACGTTAAGTTGGAGAGGTCTCGTCTAATGAAGTCAACGCTCTGTCGCCTCGTGCTCCAATCCAAAAATACCGAAACCTTTCAGCTGGAGTTACAAAACCGTTGTCAGTGCCTGGTAGATTGCAATGCAGTGGACAATATGAATGACAAGCTCGTGGAAACTGTCCATGCGGTCGGAGCTAAGTTCTGCAAGACCCGCCGCAGAAGAACACAAAAACTCTCCGATCACACTCTTAATCTCATGGCTGTTAGACGATAGATGAGGCTGAAATCATCAGCAGAATTGACAGCATACAGGCAACTGAACATACAGATCTCCAAATACATGCGGCAGTACTTACGCAACTTCAATACAGCTCGTATTGAAGAAGGGATTGAGCGGAACCAAGGCTCCAAAGTCTTTGCCAGAGATCTGTCTGTCAGAAAGAGCCAACTTTCAATGCTGAAGACGGAGTGTGGTGGCATCGTTTCCGGAACACCTGAGATTTTGAGTAAGATTGAGAGGTTATATACTCATCATCGTTGGAGCCACATGGAAGTGTGAGTAACGATCCAAGAGCAAGTCTTATCCGACACTATTCCGATGATATACCGGACGTCAGTCTGAGCGAGATTAGAATGGCTCTCCAGCACCTTAAAAACGGTAAGGTCCCAGACGAGATTGCAATCACAGCGGAGCATCTTAAAGCGGGTGGAAAACCGGTACTTGAAGTCTTTGAGAAGCTCTTTAATTCCGTCCACCATGGTGGCACTACGGAGGTGTGGAGCAGAAGTGCGGTGGTCTTGTTCTTTAAGAAAGGTGACAACGCTATCTTGAAGAACTACAGATCAATTTCCCTTTTAAGCCGCGTCTACGTGCCGTTTTCAAAAGTCATTACGAATCGTCTCGCACGCAGACTCGACGACTTCAGTACCATAAACCACATACATATCCCACCGAAGATTGTACAGAAGACCAAAGAGTACAATCTGCCACTTTGCCTGGCGTATGTGGACTAGTCCGACTAGGTAAGTCCAACTTGGACCGAGAGGTCAATCGAAGGATTCAACTCGGATGGGCAGCGTTCGGGAAATTACGACACATATTCTTTTCAAGGATACCTCAAAACCTAAAAACGGGACTGTACAACCAGTGCGTGTTGCCAGTGGTGACTTATGGATCTGAAACGTGGTTCTTTACTGCTGGCCGTATGAGGACGCTCAAGGTCGCTCAGCAAGCTATGGAAGGGCTATGGGCTACATATATATATAATTTAGTGCACATATATTAGTCACCCTTTTTTAGAAAAGGAGATCTTAGATCTTAGGGAGTTCTCCACAACCTCCACCGTTTTCAAATGAAGCCATTTCAACGTGAATCAGTTGCGCTGATTACACTCGTTGACTGGTGTTGATGATCACTACCCACACTTGCAAGAGAAAGTTGACGATTGAGCTTTTCTTTAAAACTGAGCGGCGATGGATCAGAGTTTCTGAAACAGAGTTCGAATTAGTCGACGTGGTCGTGCAATCGTCAACATCCAGGGATGCAGCTTGATAAATCAAATTTTTAATTTCATCATACGTAGGTTTTTAAACTTATCTTCGTCCTACTTAGTCTCATTTAAAAATTGATTAGGGTTGGGTAAGTATTGTAAGGCACCGACAGTATTATAGTCACCTGTCTTTAATTCTCCGTTTCAATGACGTTGCCAGTTGCCTGGCAGGCATCGTGTCTTGACTGTCTAATGATTTTATAAAAAATTCATGAGCTGTATATCTAACTATCCAATTCAAATATTGCTCGAATTTGCGTATTAGTGTAGGTAATACCTAACTACTCATTAGTTAGAATGAAAATTTGTGGATAAATGCAAAATATTATCCATTGAACTCCATTTTCACTAAAATCCGAAAAATCCGGATTTGCGTCTTAAAAACCGGATTTACAAAACTGGAAAATCCAGATTTTTCAGTTATTTTCGAATTTCGAAGAATCCGGATTGCATTCACTAGTCAGGACCGTGCTGTGTGATATTTCTTGGAAGAGGCCTGTGATCAGCAGCGGACTTGTGAAGGGCCGTAATGATGAATGGTGATAAAAAAATGCTGAATATGACAATGGTTTTAAAGATAAGCTCAAACTATTTCATTAACAAACAAATAATCTACATGGTTGTTTTTATTATAGAGTAAACGAATTTAAATGTAATGTCACTTGTAAATATGCATGGCCATATGTTCATGCAAATAGTTTTAAATTGTCTTTAAAGTTTTGTAATTATTCGAACTTAGAAATTTTCGGCCGGCCTAATATTATAGCAACGTAAGTTTTTATTTTTAAATATAATTTTTATAAAGTGTATCCACCAAAGTGTTTTCACTTGGACTGATCCATAAATCATCGACATAAGGGCTCATTACCATTGGTCGATAATTCAGTCAATCAATACACACCATGCGGTTCATTCAAACAAGCACAAAACTAATCAAAATAACATATCAATAACACAATCGATGCACAGCATGCGGTGACGATCACTGAAAAGCGGTGATATCATTGATCTCCCGCACGCCATGCCTTCCTCTTTCTTCAACTTATCACGCGTTTTAACAGACTACATACTTTAAAAACAAATGTTAAACGGGACTTGTATATTATAGAAATCCCCCCAAATTCCGAATCCGTTCCCTATCGACTAATGAAAATGTCAAAAAATCTTAAACGCTGGTA